ACGCGATAACAATGCTATAGAAGAGCAATATCAATTTCGCTTATTTAAACAGGCTTTTGTATCGAGGAATACAAGTGCCTATGGCCTCTGTACAGTGTCAGGTTGTATTAGCACTGTTTCTAGGAGAAGGAATGCTGATTTCAGTAGTTTCTGACTGCGCCTGGTTGACAAGAACTAACCACATACACAGACATACACATACACATACCCACACACACACACACACACACACACTTCCTCCACAGAGGCTTGAGTACACATTTCACAGAATTCTGCCGAAGCCGTGACGCAAAAAATAAATAGTTCTGAGCTGTTCTCGACGCTACGTTTTTGCCCATTCAAATCGCAAATGGTAAATAACAATTGGGTATTGGAACTGAGGTCTTGGCCTGCAACCAGCGCCGATAAGTTGCGACGGTTCCGCTTTTTGATACTTCAGATCGGGCATCGAGATCGAGGCAACGCATGACACACCCGCATACAATACACACACACACACATATGCGCTCGGTTAGCGAGCATGAAAGAGAGTGGGAGCGAGAGCGACCGAGAGAGGGAGCGTGTGAGAGCTGGAGCGAGAGCGGCTTAGCGGAGATGGCGTTAGCTGATTGAGAACAATAGTGGCACCGGAAATTATTGCATCTGTTGTTTTGTGTTTATTTCTGCTGCATCGCCACCGCACTCCTTCAGTATCTTCTTCCAATGCAAACATACACACATATGTGTGTACTCTCAAACATGCATAGATACTGTGTATGTACGTATGTACGAACATATGTATGTATGCTGTTTATACATTACTTGTATTTTGTTTTGCGTTTGTTTTTGTTTTTGCTTTGCTGGTCCGGCCACACTTGAATTGTTTTCAGCCTCTGCCTTTAGTAGTTGCTGCTGTTGCCCCTACAGTACGACAAATTCTGCTGAAATTTTCAATTGCTAGCAAAAAGAAATAAAATAAGAAATAAGAAAAAAAGAAAAAACTACCAGTCGAGCGTACTTGAACAGCAACTAGGGACGCCTGCGCAGAGGCGTTAACAGCAGCAGCGTCTACGGCGACGTTTGCTTCAAGTGCAAAGTGCAATTGTGACTTTGCATCCGCCCCACCCCCGTCGCTCTTCCTGTTGCGTACACACACAGGCAGGCACAAAACACAATGGGTAACAGTCCATATGGCTGTTAACGCTCTCACAGCCGCGCGCAGTCATTTCGCATGGATTTTAACAGACTGCGTTTGCTGAGCGCCTGGTGAAACGGCGAATACCATGTGGACAACTCTCTCTCTAGCCATATGCGTGTGTGTATGCATGAGTGTGATTGTGTGTGCTTAACATCTGCCATTTCCACTTGCTGATAAGCTGATTGGAGCTGCAACAAATCGTCGCGCTTGCACGACAAAACAATGCACCTGCATTAAGGGACCTCAATTTACAAACTTACAACTTTACACTATACTAATAGATGTATTTGCTGTTAGCAAGTGCATTTGTTATTCTTGCTAAACTAACCCAACGGCAGCTAAGCAGCTCTAAGTGAGAAATCAAGGCGAAGGCACACACACACACAGCAGCTGGCGGCTGCAAACACAGGAGGCCCCTCTTACTTCTCACCTCTCCCCTCTCACCTCTCCCCTCTCACTCCACGACTCTCATTCATGTAATTTCGCTTTTTATTTGCCTGCGTCTTCTGCTGCTGCTGTCTGGTGATTGCATGGGCGCCGCGCGTTGCCTAGGAAGCAACTGATTCTCAAGCATTTCTCTTGAGTTTTTCGCCTTGGTTTCTTACTTTATTTTTTTGAAAATTAAAGATAATTATGATTGCCGACAAGAACAACAAGCAGCAGCAGCAGCAGCAACAAAGCCAGCGAAAAAGCGCAGACGCATCTACCTCAGTTTGCCGCACAGAAATCATTCATACCGCAAATGCGAACACAAGAAGCTGCATTTGTATATGTGTGTGTGTCTGTGAGATACGCATCGTAGCAGGGGCAGCCAACAAATGATAATGATAAAAAAAGTAAAATAAAGAATACCGAAACAGGTAAGAACATCCAATGCTATGTTTTATGTTTTTTTTTTTTTTTTTTTTGTATTTTTTTGTTATGTACAATACATACATAAATAAATTGAAAATAAGCACAAGACAAGCGAAATGCAGACAAAGGTAGCCACAAAGACAGCGAAGCATATGGAAAGAGATAGAGAGAGAGAAAGAAGGCGGAGAGAGAGCGAGCGATGGAGGGGCGGACAGGCTCTCACATGAACTGATGAACTGGCGCTGATAACAATCCAGCCAAACCGAAGCAGAACCTAAGGGCAGAGTACCAACATATGTATATATGCCCACACACACACACACACACACACACACACACACACACACACACACACAGGCAGCACGCACACAAATTTCGGCTTGGTGAAAGAAATTAAGACAAATCAAACAGGTTTCTGCTCACTTGTCAGGCACAGCGCATCGCCAGTGCTTCAAAGACCGCCGTCTAGGCCCGCGAGAGACCAGAAGACGAGCGAGAGAGGGGAAAAAACCCATCAAGGAAAACCCATAGAAAACCCGAAAATATCTATAGCTGGCCGACGACACAAGAAAACACATGTATTTTGGATTTATTTTCATGCAGGTAGGACGACGCAACGTGAAGATGATTTCGTAATTACAAAATTAACAAGTCACTTGGCCCAATTGAGTGAGGGTATGTACTGCAGTCGGCTTTACCTTCCACAGGTTTTCCACTCTACTCGAAAATGCGTGAAAAGCCAACAGGAACAACAACAACAACAACAACAAACGCAACAACCCCTTTCAGTGGTTGTCCGAACCCCCGTCATAGGACCCTAACTCTGTGAAAACCGCATATAAATCAAAGTGCCAGCAATAATAATGAATGAATGAATGAATGCATGATAAATAGAACGAGTGCGCTTGTTAGACCAGGTATTTAAGTGGTTGCCAGGCACAGCCAACCACAAACACTTTCGTTCAGCTGTTTACTAAATGAAGTCGGCCTAGTCCTACAGCCGGAAGGGAAGGTGAGTGGAGATAGCCTAGAGCTCTAGCGGGAAGGGCTGGTAGGTGGACACAGTATAGTCCATCTGAAAAGGAATTCAAGAAGAGGAAACTCAGTGGAGTCAGCTTAGTCCTCCAGCAGCAAAGCACGGTAAGTGCAGTCAGCCTAGTCCTCCATCAGGAATCAAAGCAAACCCTAGGCAACCCAAGTGTAAGTGAAGTCAGCCTTGTCCGCCCACAAACAAGAAAGGTAAATGGAACCGGCCTAGTCCACCCAGGCCGTCCAGCGGGAAACGAATTTTAATGAATTCAGCCTAGTCCTCCAGCAACCGGCAAATCGGAAAGCTGTCGGGTTCAATCAAGCGATGAGGACTAGAGCTGACAACTGATACTGTGCCAAAGGTCGTTCAGGATACGACTCGCTTGACTCCCCTGCTCCCACTCTCTGCACTTACAGGGTATCTATCAAGGTAGTCAAGCCCACACAGACAACAGCAAAGAACATGTAAAGAATCATCCTGTTGACAGCGAAGCATTTTGCTTGTCAATTGTTGCGCTTTGATTTGATTCGATTTCATTTTTTAGACGACTTGTTACACAGGTAAACAAACACTCGAAACAAAGGCCAGACACACACACACACACACACACACACCTAACTGACATTTGTTGACCTGTTGCCGTGGGTCACGCGTGTGTGTGTGTGGTAGTTTGAGGCTTGGTAAGTCGTGCCTAGCCAGCTCTTTAAGTCTGATTTCGACATGGCGCATAACTTGTAGTCGATTGGAAACATTGTGACTTATCGCCCGAGAGAAGATTTCCAAATGGATAAACAAATTTGTAGTTGGGTGGCATCGACTCACCAGCGAATAGGTTCTAAAGCTGTCGGAAATCTTACATAAACTTGTTTAACAAAATATATATGTACATGCGAGCTTGGGTTGTCTGTTAGATCTATTATAAGTACAGCAAGCTATCAGATCTACTTAAGCTCTAACGCTCAGATCCGGTTGTAGCTGAGGCGTACTTGGGTTCAGTCGGGGAGTCAGTCGGAGAGACTGTTAGAGCGTCGGTCAGAAAGTTAATCAAAGAGCTAGTCAGGGAGTCAGTAAGATTGTCAGGGACTCATTCAGTCAGTCGGGGAGACACTCGGAGAGTCAGTCATGGAGTCAGACAGACAGTCTATCAGAGAGATAGTCAGAGATTCAGTTGAAGAGTCAGTCAGGGAAACAGTCGAAGAATCACTCAGAGTTACTCGGAGATTCAGTCGGAGAATCATTCAGAGAGGTAATCAGCTTCAAGCTGGTCAGCAATTGGAAAGTTCTTTCGCTCTGGGAAGTCTCAGCGAGTCATCGAGTCACTGACTCACTGTGGCCGTGATTAATGAACTGAAGCTCTGGGCGCAAACATTTTGCAGGCCCGCCTTGAGAGTGGGACTCATCTCTGGGTAACATTGTGTGCTAGTCTAGCTTGTCAACCCATGTCAGCTGGAGTTGCCTATGCCGCCTCTCTATAAATATGCATTAATTGCCGCAGCACAGAAAGCCTCGCTCGCGATCTCAATCTGGCATCTAGATCTCGTTCTGTGGCCGCATTAATATGCGGCGAGTGCAGCGTAGCAGATGCATAAAACATGACAAAGGGCGATGAGCCATTTGCATTGTTGCCTCCAGGCCGATCGTGTGGGTCAGGATGCAGTGCACTTACACAGACCTTACACACCACCACTAACGCGGACTTGACCACACACATACACACACACATGCATACGAACACACAGTTTACGCTCCGGGGCTGGTCAAAGGTTCATGCGGGCAGCGAGCGAGCCAATGACGGCTTTGGCTCTGGCTTTCAGCGCAATCATCAAACGGCTCGTAAAATGTTGTGGCTGCTTTTGTGGCCGACGCAGACGACTTTCAATTAATTGGAGGGGCAGTCGCGTCACCTTTCGGGGCCGCTAATTAAAACGCCATGAAAACTGTTCATGGATTTGTGATTCTATTGATGAGGCTGGAGCTGGAGCAGTTGATTTTGTATTCAAATTTGTATTTCTAACGGATAACTGACAGCCATATAAGCCAACTCATTATCGACGCGCAGCCAACCTAAATCAGAACAACAGTGAAGGAGGAGGAGGAGGATGAGGAGGAGGTGGAGCGAGTGAGGGCAACATGTGCGCCTTGTCATAATTACTTATCAGCGCCACTTTGGGCCAATGATTGAAGTGCCTCTATTTGCATAATGAAGTCGTCTTCCCATCTCAACCCGGAGAGCCAGCCCATCGAGTGGTGGCCCAGGCAACCACTTACTCCACTTAAGTAGCAGCCACGCCGCCCAGATATCATCTCTTGCTCTCCCCCTCCCTCGCTTTTTTTTCGAATTTCTGTTTTGTTCTGGTTAAGATCTTGGCCCAGACACAAACATTCCCATTCACTTCTAGCTCGCCCAATGTTCCGTTCTGCATTTTGGGACCCTTTGATATACCAATATCGGAGCATTATTATTGTTATTATAGTCGAGTGCCTAATGCAGCCCCACTCTCGCAGTAGATGCATCTTTTATGTGTGTGCTCGTTCTTCTTTTTCGTCGTCTTGATTTTTGTGAGCTCAGTTTTGTTTTATGCATCTTTAATGGAGTTTCTGAATATATGTATCTTTGCTTTTACAATTCTCGCTTGGATAAGCAGCTCAATGAAAGTGTTATAAATATGCATGTGAGCTTTCCAAATGCCCAAGTCGTGACAGAAAGTGAAACTTCTGGCCCACATTGATAATCGCCCCGTCTCTGAGCTAAATCAAAATGCCTAAATATTTCTACTATTTAGACTCGAAGAATTTCTAATCGGCCGTCGATTCTGTTCAGACCGCTGCCTGGTCATATAGTTCTAGTTAACTGTTATTCTTTTATAACTTGAATTCCTTGAAATATATACAGCATATACATATATATTTAAAGTCACATATAGTTCTTCCTATATTTACCATATTTCCTCACAGTCCGTAAGTCTCCTTAAATATGATCAAATTGTAACCTTAAGACTCATTAACCAAGATCGATATCCAGGGAATTGAAGCAGTTATCGATCACTTGATATGAGAGAACCCTAGGTTTTCTAGCTTCATTGATCATTGAATCGAAATTAACAGACTAGAATCTTGTTTCTGTTCAAATATGTAAGCCCCGTCCAGTTCCTTCTCTGGTATGCATCCGTATGAAGCTAGAGTATTTCAGAATTCCTAGCTTCAATGTGAGAAGAAGTAAGGCTTCGTAACAGGGCCTACTGCCCTGAGCTTTTACCTTAAATCTATCAAATTTCAATTTCAACTGTATCTGTGATAGTTATAACCCTCAACTCTTTCTTCCTTTAATGTATGTGTTAGATTAAGTTGCCTAACACTAATCTGTAAATTTTTCATAAAATGTAGGTAAATAATATCTATAATATTAAAAGACAGTTAAACCCAAGAAAACTACGTCTGTATTCTATAGACTTGCCTAAAAGTATGCACCGTTTGGCTAATTAATCGTATAATTATTTAGTTAATTATTTAATCTTAGAGTTAATATTAAAGTAAGACTAACCCAAGATAAAGCTCTATCTACTGGGGCCTTCGGCTGGCTAGTCATGCAACTTGATGATACTGTCTAGATAACCACAATTGATAGCTTAACAAGTTAATGTTTCACTAGTTAAGGCCTAGAACTAAATGCGTTATAGAGTCTAAGACAAAAATCTTCATCTCAAAAAATCCGCTGTCTTTAACCAACAAAATTCCCGCAAAATTTAACTGGGTTGTGCGGAACTTAGCGATACACTAGGATTTCGAATCCGATTAAAACGACGCTCAGGGGACCGTCGGAAGACGGTTTAACCATATATATAAGTTCGCCTACGGAGCAGAATTTTCGTCGAAACAACTATACAAACGCTGTCAGTGGAGTCGTAATAACCGGAATCTACTCTATATACGTAAGTCGTCCGTCTATCCGCCCATCCGATCGTTTGTTCATTAGTCCACCCTTCTGTCTCACCCTTTTTGTTCGTCCCAATCAATCTGCTATTTCTTAAGTTATAGCAGTTGAAATTTTAAATATAATTTCCTGAATATTATACGTAGTGGGAACTAGACGAATAATGAGACGATCTGATGGACAGACGGACGACTCAGCTTATCAATCGGACTAGGGTATAGGAAAAAGTATGAATTAACTAGTTGAGATTTAGTAGCTGAAGACAAGTATTGAGAGCTGAGGATCACAGCTTTGATATATTCTATGAAATCAACAGATACAATCTCTTTAGAGTTAAGTGAATCAAATTCTTTCACTTGCCAAATTCATTGATACAATTCCAAATACAATAGAAGAAGACCGCAGTGCAATGTTTATGCATATATATACATATATATATGTATGTGTATATGTATGTGCCCAGATCTCTGCCCCTCAGACACATTGGCATTGCATCTGCCATTGATGATCGTCCGCTGGATGCGAGGCAGGGGAAACGCGATGCAATCGGGCAATGGAACGGGTTTGGATGCGTGGCCCGAGCGTGTCGATGGCAAGATCTTAACCCATTTATTTACACTCATCAAATTGCCGGCAAGTGGCATTGAAGTGGGGTGCCGTGGTGCAGTGATGCAGTGGTGCAGTGGTGGGGCGGTGCAGCTGAGACGTATTCATTGATGGCTTCTCGAATGTGCATTTTTCTTAATGAAAATTCATTTGCTTGTTGTTTTTGTTCTTCTTGTTTTGCCTAATGCCTCGGCCCTCCCTGCCCCGCCCCGCCCTTCCACTCATAGACAGTGGCGGCAATTGAGAAGAGTTGCCGCTGCTGCTGCACCACCACCAACACCACCACCACCACCTACGATGCGGGTCAGCAATCTAATTGAATTTGAGGTCTATCAAGAGCGATGATGAATCTGCCACAATTTTCATTGGGGTCGCATTTTAATTAAATTAATTTATTAATTATTACACGGCCTTCTTTCCCGCTTAGTTAGGCATATCCCGTTTCTCACAGTGTAAGCCGCATTAGCTTGTAGGTGTAAATTGAATGCAACTGGCAGCGTCTGGTGACTGGTGACTGGTGACTGGAAGCTGCAACTGCAACTGCAACTGCCACTGCAGCACAGCAGCTGCAGCTGGTTGCTTCATTAGCAGTCGCTTCAGCTGCCGTCGGGCAATCACAGCTCGAGACTGGCCACCTATAGGTGCTGGTGCTTCTGCGTCTGCTTCTGCTTCTTCTACTTCTTCGTCTTCACACCTTTCTAAAGAATGGAGAGTCTAACAAACCGCGTGGTCGCCCAGCAGCCCAACAATGACAACAAATGAAATCCATACATAATCATAATACATAATAATGAGGGAGCCATGGGGCAGGGGGAGCCGCATGCAGCTTGCTGCAATGGAGAATATCAGCTGTCTGCTGCTGCTGTTTGTTGTGCCCCCCAGCACTATACAATGTTGGCTATATGTTCTGGCATTCATATTCTAATAGGCCACTTAAGATGCACAGAATGCAGACCCATTGCCCAGACAATGGGCCAGACAATGAGCGTGTGTAGGAGAGACGTAGCCAGCTCCACTCCATCTCCAGTTCCCCCTCCCGCTCCAGCTCCATCCCCAGCTGCAGTCACACACAGCGCCAGCCAAGACTCTGGCCCCAATATATTTTTTTCACATTAAGCTTAAGTAGCTTTACTCATTAAGATAACAACACTAACGCACACACACACACACTCACACAGGGAGACATCGCGTACAGCTTTTAATTACGCTGGGCCCTGAGGATTATGCAATAGCATCAACTGTCTGACTGTGCCCCCCACTCCAGGTCCCCTCTCCAGATTTTCAAGCATTCCCTTAACCATTCCCATGCCCATTCCTGCGTAAGGTGTGCGCTGCGCTCTATTTTCTTATATAGGTCAGACACAACAACAACAACAACAACAATGGCATATTCCCTCCAAATCCCCAATTTTATGGAGTGTGCAGCATCTGATCAATATCAAAGCGACCAGCCAATGCCAGCCCATTAAAAACGCTTGCGAAATCGCTACCGAGGGCCAGACATTGGCCCCTGTCTCGCCTGTCTCTGGCTGCAGAATTAACTTTCAAATGGGCGCCGCCTTCCTATGCAATTCTCTTCAGTCTTCAGTCTTCAGTTGTTGTTGTTGTTTTTTATTGCAACCAACTGTGGGCAGAGTTGCCCAATAGCTGCAGCCAAACTGACAGACACTGACCAAATCCCTGCAGTCCAGGTCAGTGCAAGCCAGTGCCCTGCAGCCACATGGACACATACATACATACATAGGTATATAGCATGAGACAGACATTAGACAGAGCTGAATTATCGAATTCACCAAAGTTCTGGCTATGATTAAATATGCATTCCTATTGCAGTTCATTTTGATTTTATGGAGCACTGCCTGGAGTTAGTCTATTTAACTATTTGCTTTAAGTTAGTAACTTAAACGGTTTTAAACTGTATATACAGCTCGAAAATACCCTGCAAATGCAAAATGTTAGGCACACTGTAGAGGAGTTGGTCAAGCTAAGTCAATGATATGCATAGCCTATCCCAGAACTATAAAAGAGAACAAGTCCCTATGTATACATAAAATATACATAAATATCTCCATAATATTCGCGCTAAGTTAAAATGTATTATGTTATATATTATATAATTCGACAGTATTTGACCTAAAGTCCACCGTTATATTTTGTATTGGTTTTTATTTGATTCGTTTCAAAATAAAACAAAACTGGAAAAAGAGGTTCTTAAAAAAATCAATAAGACTGTAGTAGTAGCAAGTAGCAAAAGCTTTTTCCTGGGTATCAAAGGAAATGTAGCTGATTTTTCATAAATATTACTGCCGATAAAGTTTTTTTTTTTTTTTTCAGAGAATTCTCAATTTACAAGAAAATACATCAAAGTTTTTATTCAAAAATCGATCATTTCACCTATTTAAAATGTATTTATTATATTTTTATAGGACAGAATTGCTTCACTCTGTGATTTGTTCCTTCACAGATCATTGATTTTCATATGATACGATTATTTACCCTCAAATAATAATACAGATCAGCCTTTAGTGAGATCTTCACAATTGTATTTCAGTAAGCCATCCTGAGCTAACTTTTTTTGTTTTAATTAAAAAAAAAAAAATGTACTAAAATGATGCAGAGTTTCATTTTTAGATGAATGACGAATAGGAAGACGGGCGCTACCGACAGCAGAATACTCATTCATAGCGTTAGCGTTGCCAGATCCGCCATATGTAAATGATTTTACACGTTAAAGCCGAGATTATACACAAAATTTCAATTCTCAAGCACTACTAATGCCTAACACATAAACCAAGCTATAGCCGTGTTTGCCACGCCCCTATTGGATATATAATTAAATCATTGTTTAACAGAAACGTAACATTAACTCACGTGTAAAATTTCAGACGGTCTGTACCCGAATCACTTTTGTGAATCGAATAATATCGAATTTATTCAACAATAATGGAGAAGCTGAAGGCTCAGTCTGAGCCTGATGATGCGCAGTGTATAAATAGTAATAGAGAGTATCATGCACAGCATGAACTTGACAATGGTATTCCAATAATGGCAGGGTATATTCAAGCTGTAAACAATAGGAAAAGTTTTTGCCAAAGAAGAAGTTTTCGGTAGAGTCAAAGGCACAAAGGACGGCCACAGCGTTCTGTGCGCATGGCTGCCCAAGGACATGCACAATGGTACACATACACACATACACATGTATATATGTATACATTCAGGGTATTATATAGAGAAAAGCTATTTCAACATTGTTGCAGTTTTGTAGTTAATCCTGTAGACCGCAAATCTAGCATGTAACAAGGACGCACAGCTTTAGACTCCGCTGCAGCCAGGATGCAAGTGCGTGTGCGTGTGTGTGAGTGAAAGTTGTTAAGTAAACTTTAACGACCCACAGTCGATGTATTTATCATTGCATATTTATAGGTCTGACGCGCCTGTAAAAGCTTCCTTCCAGCCGGTCGAGCTTGTAGGGAGCTCAGATTTCAAATTTCGATTTCTGGCACATAAAATTGATTGGACATTAAAGTGTGGATATTAATGAAATGCATATAAAAAAGTTGCCAGCACAGCAAGCTTTTATCGAAGCCAGTTAACCAATTTAGTTTGCTATTAGGAGCTCGGCAAAGTTCGGTCCAGATATGATGGAACTTTGTGCAGCCAAATGATATATTGGCCAACTTTTTCAGCTCTTGCAAGAGTCGAGTTTGCCGAAGTCTTCGTTACACGCACTCACTTTCGCACCTCGCCCCTTCACACAGGTGTACTCCATTAGAACTAGTCGCAAAAGTTTCATCATCTAATGCCTTCAATTACGAGCCATGCATCCTCTGGGCCAGGCGGGCCAGGCTCAAGGATGACAGCTTGTCAGCTTGTCAGCTGAGCCCCGTGGCATTGGCAAACTGATTGCTGTCTGGCTGCGAGGAGCAAGCGCTGCCTGCTAACTTAAATGGCAAAAGGCTTTAAGTGGCCGAAAGCACAATTGTGCTTAGATGGCGCGTGGCCTGCACGTGGC